TAGACAAGGACCTTTAGAACAACCCTTATATATATATCCCTAAACTCTTCAAACCCGGCCTGAAGGCATTTCCGGCTGCTCGGCTTCTTCCGGCGGCCGCAGCAGCGGAAGCAGCGCCCCGGCAGCCAAAGAAGGCCGCCTGGACACTGTAATATAGGGTTTAGGGTTTAGGGGTTTAGGGTTTAGGGTTTCGGGTATAGGGTTTAGGGCTCGAGGTTTAGGGTTTAGGGTTAGTAAACCCCAAAAACTTGGAAACCGGATTAAGGACAAATAGTGCTGGGATTCCCTATGCATTACTCTGAAGGATTGGGGCTATTGGGTTTCCAACTTTTGGGCTCCGACTGTATAGGGTTTAGGGTTCAGGGTTTCGGGTATAGGGTTTAGGGCTTAGGGTTTAGGGTTGTATATCACTGCCAATAATGGAAACATTGAGAACTAATAAGAATAACAACAATACAGGTGGAATAATGAAAGACTAAGAGCATCAAGAACAAATAATAGAACAACAATCGTAGTAGAATAATGAAAACCATCATCACGTTGATCTATGGGGCTTTAGGCCTGCATGCTTCGTAGCGGCCCCTTTTAGACAGAACAAGGCTCCTTCTAGGATTTTCTATAGCGGTTTAGGGTTTAGGGTTTGGGGCTTAGGGTTCAGAAGCGGCCACATAGGATGACATAAGTAATGAGAACGCTAAGAACTGATACTAATCACAACAGTTTGGGGTTCAGGGTTTAGGGTTTTAGGGTTTAGGGGGTATGATGGTAGAATACTACGAATCATCATCACATCAATCATGCTAGTACTCCTAAGGCCTGAATAAATAGAATAGGGTCCTTCTATAGCGGTCTCAAGAAAACAGTTTCTAGGGCTTTGTACGGAGAATAATATGGGGGGCCTTCTTAAAGCATAGAGTAGTGTCCTGAAGCTTTTCTGCATAGTTGCAACATGGAGGTCGACTCCTATCTTACAGAAACCCTAAACCCTAAACCCTAAACCGTAACCCTAAACCCTAAACCCTAAACCGTATAACAGGGGAGGCTTCACAAGACTTTTCCGGCTCTACCGGAGTCTTTGTATGTTGTGCAAGTTGGGGTTCTGGCGGTTAAAGATCTTGTACTGTAGGGTTGGAGTTGTGATATTTCAAGTCCTTTTTCGGATCGTGGTGCGTGAGGGTTGCAGACTTTGGGTTTTTGGGTGCATGGCACCTTGAGAGGCTTCGAGTGGGTTTACAGTTTAGAGTGTAGAGTTTAGGGCTAGCGCTACTGGGAACTGCACATGTCATGGGTTTCGGCAATGCATGAAAATCTGTGCATGCGAAAATGCGTCTCGTAGGGTCTCCGAATATCTTTACGACACAGAACACGCCAAAGGCTGTTGTCCACCCTAAACCCCAAACCTCTATTTCTTGAACTGGCTCAGTACTTGGAGGTGCATCGGGCTTAGTGGCGGCGTAAAAGCCCATCTTCTGAGAGGTTTAGGGCTTCGGGCTCTTCAGTTCCCAAACTGCCTTTCGACGGCTGCCGGTTTGGGATAAGCCCTAAACCCTATGCCAAGAGAAACCAGGAACCCCGGTAAGGCCAAAGTATACACTATAAAGATACCTGGAGCCTTCGGATCAGGCAAGCTCCACAACACCAGAACATAACCTATGTTCTTGACCTTGCATGTGCGAAAGCATCAACCTGTCTCTGCTTTCCAAAGGGCTTGTAAGAAAGCTCAACTTCCCAAAACAACGGCAGCTGCTATGGGTACTAAGCCTAACAACAGCACACGGAGATTTGCAGTCAGGGATGTACTGCTTTCACAGGCACGGCGGCTTCCAAGATGCATTCTCAAGTTCAAGAAATGCGTCGGTGCGCGGAATGTTGCAGATCTAGTTCGCGCTTTCGGTGAAACTGTCTTCCCTTGGTTACAGGCTTTGGTTGCCAAACGTGCGTTTGCACGGAACTGACTTGCTACATGTTCCTCAGCTCATTCTGCACAGCAGTACCAAACAAGTCATTTCCCCAGGTCACGACAGATCCATCGGCAAGAATGGCAGCAAAAGCATACCGTGGACGACATTAAGGCCAAAGTATACATTTTTGGGCACATGGACCCCTAGGGATCATCAAAACGGTAGCTTGAAACTGAGCAGACGTGTATATCCGGTGTTGCCTAGCACGAGGAAGCCGCCATCCACGCCCCAGCGACCCTCCCAGCGCGCATCTTCCAACCTCAGCACGGTTCGAGGGTCAAGGGCTTGGGGTTTCAGGGATGCAGATAACGTTCGAAAGCAACACAGAGGATAACAGCAAGAACATCCCAAAAATCCCCGAACAGATCGTCATTTCAATCTTACATGCAAACACAGCCTAGTGCGCAACATCGCACTCGAAACCCTCTCCCTGAACTTTAAAGCCCTGAGCCCTAATCCAGCTTGAACAAACGAGCTCTGAAAGTCCTGAGGAACTTGAAGAGGAAATATAGGGGTTTCCGAAAACAGGGGACCCTAATATAGTACCCTAAATAGTAGGGATCCTTACTATAAGTATCCCCAAATAAGGTACCTCGAATTTTCGGAAGCTCCCCAAAAAGGGGCCGCGATACTGGGGTTCAGGGTTTAGGGCCTCGAGATTTAAGGGTTTATAGGGTTTAGGGTTTAGGGTACTGATGAGAACTGGGTCACTGGGCTAGTTATATTGTAACATAGTTGCAGGGGCTATCAGACACTGCTACTCTATGCATTCAATAACCTATACAACGTACGCCCCGGGCAAACCTTGATGAGCCCCACACCCACATGTCTATTGAACCCCTGGTATTCTATACGGGAGTTTCCGAACATAAGGTACCCTAACATAGTACCTCGAAAAGTAGGATCCTTATTATTACTATAAGGAGCCCGAAACAAGGTACCCCTTTTTTTTCGGAAACTCCCCTTTGGGTTCAAGCTCTGGGTTCAGGACCTAAGGCTCGGTCTGGGCGTTTCTCGGGCTTTGGGCTTAGGGTTTCATTTGACTCCCAGACCTTTCCGGTCCCTTTCTTCGGCCTGTTCTAGGATTCGGACTGAAACGTCAAATTCCTTGACTCCATGAGCGGTGGTACTTTGAAGCCCTAAACCAACAACCTTCAACATGGCAACGACTTAAAAACTGCGAAGCTATAAATCCTTCAAGGTTGAAGTGACCCCACCGACTCAGTAAACAGAAGGCAACGAACTGCTCGAGCCCCTTCCTGCCAGCTGCCGCGAGAGGAGCACATCGCCAACACCCGGCTGCCCATCCCCCGCGAAATTCAACGCCTGCCAGGGGCGCAACTGCATCCCAGAAACCCCCTTAGCTGAGGGGTGCTTAGGGTCTGGACCAGCAGTCTTCCACGAAGTACTACTGGAGCCGATCGTCCTCGGAATAAAGGTGTCAGACCTGGTGTTACGCCTGCCGGACTTGGGATACCTTGAGATTCAGGGCTCAGGGCCCAGGATCTGAAAAATAGGGGGCTGAAGGTATCTTCAGGGTGAGCTTTAGAGGATTTATGCTGTCAACTTCTTCTGGAATCAGATACCCCAGAAACACGTTCTCGGCCTTTGGGGCCTGAATATTAGAACCCTGGAGGCCCTATAAGTACCAAAACCAGAGCCTTCGCTCCCAAAAAGTGTTCGAATATTTGTTTCTATAAATGTAGACATTCATCTAGAATCTAGATGTTGGTCCACTATGCTATATACATTTAAACCATCAACAGATCAGCCAATCAATCCCTCCATCCATCCATCCATCCATCCATCCATCCATCCATCCATCCATCCATCCATCCATCCATCTATCTGTCGATCTGCCCGCCTGTCCATTTGCCTGTCTATCTATCTCAGTATTTCTTTCTGCCTCATTTTATGCACAGGCATGTATGCATGCATAGACAGATACGTACACGCATACGTACATCCATCTTTGTGCAGTTGTAAAACACGACTTGAGCGGGCAAAGGACTTGACACACCGGAATACTTGTCTGAAGACCGAATGCCAAGCCCAAAGCCGCTCTAACGTCCGATGCGAACTGCAACTCCCCAAGTTCATGAAAATTCGGCCGTATGATCGACCTCATGCCCCCCATCCCCCTGCACCAGAAACACCAAGCCTAATTCCCAAAACCGAATACCCTAATATGCCAGTCTGCTTCAGTTCATGCGTCGCAAACCTGAATCCATCCCTGATCGAGGCCTCGAAAGAGGTCCAAACTTCGCTCCGGAGTTCGGTCCAAGCCTCCTCGTCCTTCGCAAACATCAGAGCTGGTTTCAAATCTAGGTTCCCCGGTAGCCCCTGAATAATAAGGGTACCCTTTTCCCTACTGTTTGGTTTTATCAAGAGAACCCCCCAAAAAAGAAAGGGCAAAAGGGTACTTCTGGGGAACCTAGATTTCGTATGTCGAGGTTTGGGTTTAGGGTTTATATGGGGCTTTCCGAAAATAGGGGACCCTAATGTAGCACCCCAAATAGAAGGATCCTTATTATCCTTATGATAAGGACCCCCAAAGAAGGTACCCCTAATGTTCGGAAACTCCCATATGGGTCTAAGGCTTAAGAGCTGGAATTGACTATGTAGGCCCGGGTTTCAGTCCAGGCTTTCTGGGACCATGACTTAGGTTTCAGGGTTTAGGGTTTAGGGTTTAGGGTTTAGTTTTGATTCTTTGGGTGGCGGGTTGGAGTAAGAGTTTACGGATTTGTGGCTTCAGAGTGGGCTTTTGATTGCTTAAGTACGGGTACGGGCCTAGAACTGTAGCCCTAAGGGTCCATGTACCCAAATAGTAAACACGTTGGCCTTAATGTAGTCCCTATATAGGTACTTTAGGGCCCATGTATATGCTATATGAATACATGGACCCTTAGTGTAGGATGTATGGCTTAAAAGGGACTGAGCTGGCCTCTGTTGAGGCTTGGGGTTCTGGGTTTAAGTTCACGGCCTATCCCTAAGGGTCCATGTATTCATATAGCATATACATGGGCCCTAGAGTACCTATATAGGGACTACATTAAGGCCAATGTATATACTATTTGGGTACATGAACCCTTAGGGTATGGTATTAGGGGTTTAAACGGTTCATGGGTGTAGGAGTTTGCGGCATGAGGCTGGGCTCCTTGAGCTTCTGAGATGCAAACCCATCAAGAATGAATATGACGACTGCAAGTTACCACTTCTACTTGGAGGTTCATGGGTAGTTATAAGTGGGGTTATAAGTAGGGGAACTATACTTATAACCCATATTAGGGGACTTATAACCCTACTTATAACTACCCATGAACCTCCAAGTAGGGTTTAGGGCTTCTAAGGCGTAGAGCAGCTCGACCACGTTTATTCGAGCATCAAAGCTCCACTCTATGGGGTAATTCTGTTCCTTACTTCCCCAAACTTCGACACATTCGGCTCGGCTCTGATACATACCTATAGTCTCCACTGTAGTTCCTTTTTTGGGGTTAACCAGCTACGTATAAGGATTTTATAAGGTATCCCCAAAAAGGAACTACAATGGAGACTACAGGTACTAGGTCACACCCTACCTCCGTGGAGTCGCGGGTCTGGCCAGCAGCCGTTGCAGCGAGCACCGCACCCGCGCGGCGCAAGGCACTTACGGCGCCTTGGTGGCTTGAGGTTGAGACAGCGTTTTGGGGCTTCGGGCTTGAGATTTACATATGTAATATGGTGCTTAGGATCACAACTTCATGTAGGCTATGGGGGGGGCGGGGGGGTGATTTAGGGGGAAGGCATGCCGTCGCAGCTGTGAAGGGGGATTGCGGCCAACGGGCATTTCAGCGCTTCGTTCTCACCTGAGACGCTGGGGATTTTGGGGTTTGGGTTGTGCTGGCTGATGCCGAAGCCCCTCGTTCATGAATTTCCAGAATCCGACCCCGAAGAGTGAATAGTATTGACGAAGTCCAGAGGCTGACTGCATCGCATTCGTGTCCCGACACACAGATGAAATGCCCGAAGATGGAGATGTAGACATTGGAAAAGTGTGCAAAGTGAGGGAGCCCCAAAGCTAAGCCACAACACCCCGCACAGGGTTGAGGGCTGAGGGCAACGGAGACATGATCATTCTGTTCATTCCAAGCTCAGAGTTACAGACAGGTCTCGGTAAGAGTATGACAGAGTGCTGCTACTGAAGCTCCTGTCGGCTGGCATGGCCGTCGAGAATCCACGCTCGTTTCGAGACTTTCAGATACGGCGGCTTCGGTGCGGTATAGGGGCTTCCTGATTCCTGATCGTAGAGTAGAGATACCAATCGTTCGCTCTGATCCATAAGAACTGCGCGGAGTCGCGATCACGGAGTTCGTCGATGCCACGATCCGGTGCCAAGAAGATACTAACGACCTCGGCACAAGCTTTCTAACAGGAGAAGAAGAGCCCAAATATCCAAAAGATCAGCCCTTCCCGAAACCCTAAGCCCTAAACCCCTAAGCCCTAAACCCCAAACCCCTAAACCCCCAAACCCTAAACCCTAAAGCCCTCAACCCTAAACACCTTCCGGCGCTTGCGGTCGGGAAGTGAGGATTAAGAACCGTCTCCAGGAGCTTCTCAGGCTCTCGGGTTGCAGAGCTTTCGGGTTCATGTAGGGCTTAGGGTTTAGGGTAAAGGGTTTAGGGCTTTGGGTTTAGGGCTACTTAGGGCTTAGGGCTGAGGGATTAGGGTGCAAACGGTTGAAACACAAGCTTCGACTATGGGGTTGCGTGATGTCGGGGTTTTTAGTTTGGTGTCTCCGGCTCCAGCTCCCCGGCAACGTTTGGGGTTTAGGGTTTGGCGCATGAATTGACTCTTCTGGGTTTAAAGGGTTTAGGGCCAGGGTTGAGGGTTTAGGGTTTGGACTCATGATCTGACTCGACTTCCAAAGGGCCCTTTGGCGTTTGGACTCAAAAGCAGCCCAACAGCAACACAAGCGTTTAGGGCTTAGGGCTTAGGCGGCTAAACCTGCATGTCTCTACAAACCCGGACAGATCGCACACTGACGTCGCAAGCCCAGTCGAACGGCCCGCACACTAATACAGGGGCCCTTAATAATAAGAATAGGGCTTTGAAGAACACTGTACTATACTTATAATAATAATAATAACCACGAACCCCCGAGATAATGTTGGGAATTACTACTACCCTGAACTCCCGAGCTGCCATGCACTGAAACTGGGCATCCACGCCGTGGCCACCACGATGCCCACAAGGACCTCATAACACCCTAAGGGTCCATGTACCCAAATAGTATATACATTGGCCTTAATGTAGTCCCTATATAGGTACTTTAGGGCCCATGTATATGCTATATGAATACATGATACATGGACCCTTAGGGCCACGATCTTCAGCCTCTCCGGATTCCACACTTTTGGTTCGAAAACTAGAGGCACCTTAAAAAGGAATAGGATCTATCCCCGATCCCAGTAATTCTTAAGGTACCCCGTAGTGTCGGCGCCTTAATACTAAAGCATTAGAATAAGGCCTTGGGCTCCTGTTATAGTATTGCTACAATAATAAGGAACCCTAAACCCTAAACCCTAAACCCATATAGGTCATTCTAAAGGCCCATATATGGCATGAACCCACGCAGCCGAATCGAGTCGAGTCCCATCATTCCTGGGGCCATGAGACCGTGTAGGGACAGCAGCACTAGTTGAGACACAGGGTTTAGGGTTTAGGGGTTTTTACCATGATTGGGGGTTGGGGTTTAGGGTTTAGGGTTTAGGGATTTTTACCATGATTGGGGGTTGGGGTTTAGGGTTTAGGGTTTGGGAGATTCCTGGTCGCAAAAGTAAACACTAGAGCCACGCTTGATGATGCTCTTGGAATGGAAAGTCAATGCCGAGCATTCTTGGTGCTGAGCTGCATCCACACATCGGCGCACGGCAATGTCCAGGGCTTTCGGCATGGGTAGTACTAGTTCGTTGTCGCCCTGAGCACAGCCAATTGCAGTGCAAGCCTACACCCTGAACAGTAAGCTTTTTGCTTGGGGTCTAGGAAGCTGGAAGCTGGGTTTCAAAGATCGAGATTTTGCCGTCGACCTCCCAAATCCTGAAGCAGTCAACAAAAGCCAAAGCCTTAGGTCAGGTTAAGATCCATATCAATAGGGCTGTGAAGTGTTATGAGTACGGCAACCATATAACTAACTACACGTACAACCCCCCCCATTCAGAACTTATCTTAATCATTTCCGTCCACCCCGCACCCCCCCTTCCCCCCCGCAACATCGTTTCGTCGTCTGATTGGGCCCTGCAGGACGACGAGAAGCATTTGCAACTAGAGCAACCTCACTTGCAGAGTCGCCTGAATCAACCCTCCCGAGCGCGTAGATCATTCCCGGCAACCCAATGCTTCAGGGTTTAGGGTTTAGGGGTTAGGGGTTTAGGGTTTAGGGGTTTAGGGTTTAGGGGTTTAGGGTTCAGGGTTTAGGGTTTAGGGTTTGGGGCTTTCCAGGCTATACGATCCGTCGCGTCCTGCCTTTCACTGAGCGTGGAACCCGGGTGGAAAGGGTCTAGCGAAGTTGAGGATCTATGGCCTAAGGGTCCATGTATCCAAGTAGTATATACTTTGGCCTTAAATCAATTCTTTTTGTAGGTATTTGGGGGGCCAAAGTATATACTAATTGGCTACATGGACCCTCTGGGTTGGGTTAAACGAATGTCTGGTTCGTCTTGAATCAGGCGTCAGATCGATCTGCTAATTATGGGTTGCTGTGGGTCTTCGCTGAGGCATTCGGGACAACGAACCCTGGAGTTCCAGAGAGGGGCTGCGCGATGTTCGTGCGTTTATGTATCTCGAGCTTGCTGCAACTGGCAAGCATCCACGTCTCAGAACAGAACAGACCTGAACACACTTAGAATACAGCTTTGGGCATGTTATAGCATAACTGGTCCTGGATCTGTCTTCACAGGTCTGCTGATGCGAATTACTAGAGTAGGGTCTTGGGGCAAATTATGCCATGGTTGGAATAGGGATACTATGAGTTAGTAGTTCTTCCGACACCTGTATCGGGACTTGCCGGTGGGCCGTCAGACGAGCTTCGATGAGCTTGTCTGATAAGCTGGACAACACGATCTGGTAAGTCACGAAGGTTACCTGAACATGAATGGATCTGGGGTTCGCGGATTCGGGCTTCAGGTGAAGAAATCCATTTCTTCATGTTTGCAAATCAAAAGCGGATGTCTTCCCACCGATGCAGTACCAAGAGACTCCAATATCCCTTAATGAAGGAATATACCTTAAATTATATTAGGGATCCTACTAAAATTTAAGGTATATTCCTGAATTAAGGGATATTAGAGTCTCTGGGTACCCCTATGAATTCGGTTTAAACCTGTCTCCCTGCTCCGAATGAGCTTTCAAGCCTATGCACTCCGTGTTAAGGGAACACGTGCACACCGAGAGGCCGCTCCAGCATACTGCATCTCCTGCAGAAGGGACGATCTACCCCTAAGGGTCCATGTATTCATATAGCATATACATGGGCCCTAAAGTACCTATATAGGGACTACTACATTAAGGCCAATGTGTATACTATTTGGGTGCATGGACCCTTAGGGTACTTAAGGGTGCACCCCCTTCTCCAAGCGTTGATGTGCTTATATGTATATGGTGCTCGGAACTACTTGGGGTCTGTATGACGTCCTGAAGCTTCGAGGTACAGTTAGGCCTTATAAGGTGTAGCAGCCGTCAGGGCCAAAAGAAACCCGAAGCAAGTCAGGAAAATCGAAATATGGGCCCAGGCTTCAACATCCCTAAGCCCGAAAGCCGAGACCCAGGAGTTGGGACCCCTGGCTGTAGAGGCACTGCGGCAGATGAAGTTAAAGATGATCGGCGGGAAACTTGGTCTGGTGTATAGACTTTTCTTATTGGCTTGTGAGGTTTGGTTGACAACTACACATCAACCCGTGCTAGAGTTTGCTGAAGGAATTCGGGCTTACAGCCGGGAAATCTGCAATGGCGCAAAAACCCGTCAAACCTCTGTCAAACCTCGGCCCCAGACAGAAATACACACTCAATCCTAAACCCTACAGCATACAACCCCAAAGCCCTCAAAGCCTAAGACCTATATACACCCTACACCCTAAACCCTAAAACCCCAAACCCTAAAACCTGAA